GTCCTTTTAACCGTTTAACTTTTCATACACATCTTGGGCATCCTTGTATTTCTTCATCAGAAGTTCATTGGTTTGAAGCTTCTGGTGAAGGATCTCCCTTTCCTTTTGAAAGAAATCTTTAAGAGCAACTAAGTTTAGTCTCTTTTGCCTTAGATTCTTTTAAGGCCTTAGTTGTGACAATCCGTCATTTCGGGATTTCAGGTTAGTACCTTATTTTAGGATCTTTATTGAGAATTAAGTCTTTCTAGGATTTAACTATGATGATTAGAGAACGTCTCGCATAATTCCCAAGATTGGTTCGGAAGATCACGGTTCGGCGGGTAACTGACAAAGTTAACTTGTGCAATGCCAAATAGTCTTGAAATGCTCCAAATAAAATAAAGTTGATATTTTAGGTTTTGTATTTTAAAATTTTAAAATTTTCAAAGTCCCATTTTATTGGCAAAATATGTTATTAAAGGGTGGAGTTTTAAAATCTTTTATTTAGTTGTTTTGTTTAAATAATTTATAGAGGGTTTTATTATTTAGAAAAATAATAATTTATAGGGCTTGGGCCTTTAGAAGCCAGCCCATTTCATGTTTAAAAGCCTTCATATTTGAAAACTTTCATTTCCAACTCCCAGCTTGACCTGTTATCTCCCTCTAAACTCGACCACCTTCCAGCCGATTCTATCGTCTCGCAAGTCTTTAAGGATTCTGTTACTCTTCAGGATTGTTCAAGATTCTAAGAAAAGGTATGAGTTGAGCTCTCCTATTCTCTCAAAAATTCGAAAGTTTACATTCTCCTTCACCTACTTGATTCTTTACTATATTTATGGGATTTAAAGAGGGGAGATTGTTCATCAAAGACCTGCAAATGTCTTYGGTAGGATGATAATCTGTGATCCATGTTCTTTAATCTCTAAGAAGGAAGGAGAGAGTCCTTGCATGTAAAATCTGATCATATTTTAAGTATGGGAAGATCTTGCATGCATCCTTAATCAGTTTTATTATCTTTAAAACTCGATGAAATTGGAAAATATTTTTCTGGAGTTTGTTCGATGATGATGACTCAAGCCGGAGTTTAAATTCTTGAAAATGATGAGCTTGAGACCCCTCCCCATCATTGCTGTCATTCTTGGTGCATGCAATCTGTTTTGGGGGCGTGCGTCTCAAGGTGCTAAAGTATTTAAGAAGAGTCTCAAACCCACTCAAAAATTCTTGATTTTGGAAATTGGCGGCTGTCATCATTATTTTGGATGACTTAAGATGATGTCATTAGGTAGATTTTGGAAGGTTCCTTTTGAAAAGTAAATATTAAAATATCAGCTTTTATTTTATAAAAACCTTGATGGCATTGCATTAAAAGCAACTTTGCTTTACCTTGGGCAAGAAACCTTTAAGTAATTTAGCGCTGGATATTGGTCTGTTCAGGAAGTTCGGGTGAGCCTAGAAGGCTTGTAACGGCAACCTCTGGATATTCATCAAATTAGTGAGTTCTCACGGCCCCACTTTTACTGCTTTTGATTATTTTATGGGGGAAAAGCATGAAATTGAGCAAACTTTGCATGTCTATTTATGTAAAACCTTTGGACTAAGGAACTGCTTAGTCAAGTTTTTGTTTG